CTACTTAGTGAGTTTGCGTTTTACTAAAACTTTGTCTTTAAAATAAAGGTGCATCATTGGTGTATCTTATATTCTGCAAAATGCTGCACAGTGGGAAAATGATTGATAAATTCTTTAAAAAAATAATAAATAAAAGTTTATTTGGAATTTAAATCACTTAAATTTTTCCTGTAAATAATTATTTACAATAAAGTTTAGAATGTTATCTAAAACTCCGTCTTTGTAAATAGATATGCAGTAAAACTCTGACTCGGAGTCACAACTGCACATTCAGTGCAAATAAGTCTGTTTTGGAGAAAACTGGATCTCATCTGCTTCACTGAATTTGTCGCTTATTCATCCTTCTTACAAGAAGTATTCCGAAGAAACCTTGTTGTCCACAAATCTTTGCACTGTATCTTGCTTCTATACGCTGCTCTGATTTCAAATCTAAGAACCATTTTCCATTCAACTAAACATTTTCAATTGGTAATTTTCTATTGCATGTACAAGCTTACAAACCTGTCACCTGGGTTTCATATTGTTTAAGCATGATTTAACCAATGGTTTCTGTCAGTCAGGTTGCTAAAGATGTCAGATTGATGAAAAATAAGACACTGATGGCTGAACTGTTATTATGTGCAAATGGAATATACTTGAACCTTCATTCTTTCATTTTCTGCCAGTTGCAAGCAGAAATGGTGTGTGGCAAAAAGTCATCTGTGTGTCGATTTGTACCACTTGCACAATGGAAGGAATGTGGATGACAGCATTTGTGACTCACAAATAAGAATTATTACCTGATATGTATGAGCAATAACATGACAAAACTTCAACATGTTTCCCTAGAATAGTTAATGTGTATTTATCTTGTACTGCCAAGAAAGAGTTCAGCTGAGAGAACAGGAACTTAATCTGACAAGAGCATTTAAGAGTTACACCTGACACTGTTCCTGTTGTTGACAGGTTCAGCCTTTCGCTTACTTTTATTTATAGTCTCTTTTCTGAAAACTTCTAAGAAGGTGGCAGCTGAGAATAATAAAACACTACTCATTGTTTTATGTACCAGATTCATTGTTTTTTCTCTTTGGTATATCAGTTATAATGGTAATATTAATGAGCTTCAAAAAAGCATAAACCCGCCTCTCCCTACATAGATACCAAAGGCAGTCATGCTAATGTTATTCATTTCCCTACAAAGAAACATTTGGTATTCAATCACTGAGCAGCCAGTATGGCTTTTTGTTGAAATTTATAAAATCTTGCTCTTAAAAGAACAATTTAGAAAAACAAATTTCTCAAATCCATTAGCTGTTATTGCTCTTTCCAGTATTGATGGGGGTTTCCTTCCTAACTGTTGGTGGGGAAGAATATTTCCCTACAAATTAGCCTTTGCTGAAAGCAGTTAGTCATTCATGGTAAAACATTCTCTTTCCTAGTTTCTATTTTACATTATGTTTTCCTGTACTAAAAGGTAATAAACTTATTAAACCAATTCCAGTTTTGTACTGTTGTTTATGATAATTCAGTTACAAAACTACTCATTTATTACAAGTTATTTCCCTTGCTCTGTCTGAACCTTCTGTTTGAATTACATGTGCTATCCATTTTAGTTGTTGCTACTCTTGAAAGTCTTTAAGTGATGTGGTTTCTGTTATTTAGCATGGTTCTTTGTTTATGAATCTGGAGCACCAATCCACAATGTTCAAAGGATGATGATCTTTGTCAAACTTCTCAGACTTCACTCACTCAAAGTCTTTTACATTATTGATCTTAGGATGGAGTGCAACAGAGATAAGAAGATGTTGTTGTGGTCATCTTCTTCTTTTATGTGCCATGCTTTTTGAGGATTTTAGTGATTTGGGTTTTCCATAACGTTTTATCTTTTGTAGCTCTTAGTAATGTTTTGTTTTGTTTTTACTATCCTTCTGACAACCAGTTCTATCATAAGAATTTTAGGTTTTTACTTGATATTTATCTTTGCCGTCTTGCCTTCAATATGTTCTCTGAGTATCAAATTTTCTAGGCCCCTCTCTCCTCATTATGAATCCCAGGAATTTCAGCTGTCTTTTTCTAATTCTAAACATGTGTGCTTTTTGTTCCATTTTTCTTAAAGCTTTCTTCTTTCTTGCATGCACTGTTCATATTCTTCTGTAGAACCACATTTCTGTTGCCTCAAGTTTTCTCTTCATTTTCAGGAAACTATTCAATATTCAATGTCTTGTGAGTGTCAAATTTTCCATCCTCTCTTTCCCAAAAATTTCAAATGTTTCTTTCTGATCTTAGTGTCCTTTTTATTTACTTTTTCCTTAAAATTTCTATTTTGATTACATGTCGATCCGTATCTCTTTTGCCTTCGCTTCTTCATCTATAAGGAAATTGTCAATCAGTCACTGCCATATAGGAAGATTGATATTACATAACAGTTCAGCACTCTAGTTTACCAAATGCAGTGGGCTTGTCTTTGAAAATAAGTTGTCTACCACTTTGATTCATTATATAGGCCTTGACACTGACAAGATGTCTTGGCAGGAAATATATAACAATCAGGTCTACGACATTTAAATTTATATTTATTATTTTTAATCTAGTCACAAACAAGGCCAAGTGAATCTAAATTTGGTAGGAAGATTGTATAGCACTACTCTATCAAATGGGGAGGATCTGATTGCTTTGAGCATTAAATTTAAAAATTTTGCAAGCACTACTTACCAAGTTAGATTAAAAACAAAATTTCTCAAATACCAGATTATCCTTCATTTGAGGTCAATGATCATCTAATACAACAGAGCCTTTGTGGTGACGACATGGCATAGCTGAACATAGGGCTCTTTAAACTGATGTCTAATAACCAAAGTGGAGGATTTCCCTAAATGGAACCAACAGCTACATTTCCATAACCAGTGAACCATCAAGTTTGGCTGTAGTTTGACCTAAAGAGGGATGAACTCCACTAGGCTTGGTTTGGTTTAGTTTGTTTTATGGCATAACAACCTCAATGGATTATTTAATGCCAACAAAGTTTTTAGAATAAGTTTGCATGAATAGAATATGTATTCTTTGTAAGAAATCAATTTGTAGATCAGGTTTCATCAACATATTTTTGTAAAGAGAGTTTTTGTCGGGAGTCAAAGCATTGCTGGTAATATTTTCCTTTTTAAAATGTATTGCTGGTATTTTTACTATAAAAATCTGTTTTTATACTTTTATTGTGTTTTGACACTAATTTTGGTGTAAAATAGTTGCACATAGTTACTACCACTCCAGGTCAGGGTAGATCTGGGAACAACATTAATTAAGAGGTGGGTTTATGTTCATCAAAACTTCCTGATCAGAGGCCTTGCTGCCAGTTGTAGTTTATCATCATATCTAGGATGGGACCCTATCAGGTCTACTTGCCAAAGACACACTATGCATGGCTGAATTCTTCTTTGGCTTGCAACCCAGATATATAGAGGGATCTGGTTGGGTTCATAGCTGCAAAGTGACCTGCAATCTTACCTAGTCATGGGACAGATAGTGATAATGTTTAAATTTATCAGTTTTCTAAAACTAGTTTCGTCCCAGTAAAAAATAGAGATTAATATTTAAATATCCTGCCTTAGGTCAGGTCAGGTCAGGTCCTGTGCATGAAATCTATGGATACACATTGCATTTTTCATATGTGGATTTAAGATAAATGCTTATCATGTCTTTTTTTTTTTTGGAACTGATATAATTAAATTTACAATGGCATTTTTTTAATTTAGCTTTCTATTCAAACCAGCATAGGTATCTTAGTTGCTATGCTCACAATATTTCAGAAGTTCTCTCACAGTAAACTTAAAAAGAGTTTAAAAAAAAAACTTTATTTAATTCATGGGAGTTGAATGGAATGAGAACAGTCTCATTCCAAACAAGTCAATTTATCTTTCTGTCACTTGTTCAACTCTTCCACTGAAGCAGTACTATTTGACCTAGGAAACTACTATTAGCAAACAAGATATTTTGACCAATGCTTTTTCCACTCAGGTGATGGAACTCTATGAGTGTCCTGACTTATATAATATAAATGTATGAGTGTCCTCACAGTATTAATATCCTAACTCATGTGTTATAACTATATGACTGTCCTGATTCAGGTGATGAAACTGTAGGAGTGTTCTGACTCAGGTAGTAGAAACCTATTTGTGCTTTGACTGGTGCCAAGATACTATGAATATCCTGACTCAAGTGTTAGAATTGTGTGAGTATAACAGCATAACAGTCCATGTGGTTCTTTATTTTAACAAGGACCATAACATGGGTTTTTTGCTGGTTTTATTTTTTCTGATTTATCATGTACTGTAATTTTATCTATTTCCAAATGGAAACAGCTATTACAAAGCATTTTTATTGATCAGTAGTACTTTCTTTTTATATTTTAAACTATTTTGTCTGATGAAGGACAGTAAAATTTAGATAATTTCCTCCATACAATAATTCCAGCAAAATTGTGCTTAAAATAAATGCAGTAAGAAAAAAAATATCACCAAGAGAAAAAAAAAATCTGTAAAAATATGGAAGGCTGTTGGTGATGTTATTTTATTATAAGACTATTCTTTTTATTTACCAGGTTCTGAAGGAAAAAAATGTCCAAGACTTATTAGTTTCAAGAAAAGAAATATTTTTAGTATGAACTGATGAGATGCAATTTATTTTATAATATAAACAACAAAAAATACTTAAGTTGTGATATATTAGCAGTAACCACTTTGTCTTTGTCAGACATGCCCTTAGGTGCATAATGTATAAATATTCTATACACTTGAAGAACTGAGATAGCCATTGTATTCAATTCAACTATTGTCTTCTCTCCTTTTCTCCTAGTAGATTGCTTTATTTTAGTCTTCAAGGACACATCAATAGTTTATGGTGAAAAAAACTTGAAAAAGTGACCTTCATCTATTATTGAAAGAAGGGGTCCAATTAATATTTTGAAATTTCTCTAACACTAAGTATTGTAAATTCTACTAACTACTATTTAAAAAAGGGTGCAGGCTTACAGCCACATCATGATTAAGCACTGATTCCCATAACATCAACAAAGTTAAGCAACATCGAGCCTGGTCAGTACCTAAATGAGTGACCACTTGGGAATACTAGGTACTGTAAGCTTGAATGTGTGAGTGGTGTAATGATTCGGTATTGTTAATCGGAAAGCTGAGTTCCAATTCCTGTTGGGTTCATTAGATTCACTTTGGTTTAAATACCCGTGAGAAAGATACGAATCCACCTTTTCAATTTTCCTGATTTAATAATTTGCCTAAAGTTGTTTTGGCAGTCTATCAGTATGTTTCACATGAAAAATCTGGGAAGAAGGGATTATCAGTAGTCAGGAATTTTTATAATATAGTAAGGTTCACTCTGTACAAGGCCTGGGGGCCACTCAAGATTGAGGGTTATGATAAGGGATAGTTTATATGGATAGGAGTGGGAGATGACAATTGACTCTAGACTTGAACAGGTTAAGATTGTAGTGATCGGGGAAACATCCTCTTGGGAGTCTGTCTAACAGGATTGCAGTTCACAGGAAGAAGCTGTTCAAGTGGAATTTCTCACCAGCGGAATGTGGGTGGTTTTCTACCAAGTAAGTGGCATTGAGAATCCTAGCCATGAAGGTTAGACTTGGCAGAACGGATGAATGTAGTTTGAGCACTTTCTGTGGAAGTAGCAATAGAGCAGTCAGAGACTCACCACATTCTACCGGTGAGAGAGACATTCGAGGGTGGAAAATAATTCTTCTCTAACAAAGACTCAGAGGTGCTTTTGGACTCTATCATGACCAGATAGTGGGGATTGGGAAGTCATGCCCAAATATGGCAACAGTACTCCATTTTTGACCTGAAATTGGCTCTTATAAATGTAGAGGATAGCATGAGGAGTCAGGTAGTTACTGGAATGGCACAGGAAGCTGATCATTTTACCTGCATCTTTTGCTATCAGTTGTATATAAGAGTTTTACTTGAGGTCGGGTGTGAATTTGAGACCCATTATTCTCTTGAGGCAGAGTGCCTCCTCAAGGAGACATCCGATTATCATGATTGGTGGTACTTCAAGGTTTGATGGGCAGTGATATAATGAATTAATGCAAACATTATTGATAGAATAGGTTTTGCATCTTGCCTCATATAAATACAATGCCAGTGTTTTCATGATGGGAATCCACTGGAACAAGATTAATTTATGCATTACAGACTACATATATATATATATGTAAGCAAATATATGGATATAGATCCGACAATATGAAGAAAAATATACTGAAAAAACAAACAAAAATCCTAATATGCGATTATGCTGTTTTAAATATGATCAATAAATACTCAAAATACGTGATCATATTTAAACGCTGATCTTATAAAAGATTTCAGTTTGGATTGGTATTGCTTTTATGTCCATCGTCTTTTTCATGTTAAATTGTATATGGTCTATGTTAATTATGATCTATGAATATGTCCTGAAGATGGTCTATTAAACATTAAAACAGCATAATCGCATATTAAGATTTTTGTTTGTTTTTTCAGTATATTTATCTTCATATATATATATATATATATATATATATATATATAGTATAGAGTTAGATAAATCAAACGACTAGATATAAACAACCATATATGCATGTGTTGGATTGCCTACACAAGCAAGCAAATAAATAATCATCAAATTTATTTGTGAGGTGTAAACATAGCAGTGTTTGATGTGGTTAGACAGAGTAAAGATATATATTAATAAATATACATATACATATATTTTGGTGTGTAACTTAAGTTTTGCTGGTTTTCCAGCTCATCAGGTACAATATATATATATATATATATATATATATATATATATATATATATATATATATATATATATATATATATATATATATATATATACACAGCCATTGAATTCATGTTGAAACACTGCTTCCTGTACAATCAACGAAGTTAAGCAGTGTTAAGCCTAGTCAGTACTTAGTTGGGTGACTTGGGAATTCCAGGTGTTGCAAACTTAGATGTGCAAGTGGTGTAATGGATAATGGGTGAAACTTTTAATTGGAGAGTTGAATTCTGATTGCAGTTGGGCTCCTTATATTCACTTACTTGCAAACACATTTGGGAAAGGTATGAGTTCACCTCTTCTCCCCCCAAACTATGGGTTAATTAGTAAGACTTGTATCACTAACTATTATTATCTCAAAAAAATAATTTTACAATCTAAAAATATTTTGGGGCTTTAAATAATTTGCAAAGGGTTGATAAGCCATAGAAAATGAATGAATCAAATCAGGATGCCCCAATATGATCTAATATTTAGCAAACAAGTCAAGTTGATCATTACAATTCAGTTGCGAGTTCAATTCTCACTTGGGGGCCTTGTATACTGGGTGTAACAGCAAAATTGTTCTATTGTTAGATTAAGCTCTGAACCATTATATTTTAGAAATGATTAAAGATATCTTACTGGAATTCACCAAGGTTTTTATAACATTATCAGAATCTACTTTGAGCAAATAAAATGTATAATTACTCTCCAAGCTTAACAGAAGAATCATGATAAAATTGATCATAAATAAAAATGAAATGTTTATCATTAATTAATCATAGCTAAGGATCAGAAGCTCATGAAGTATTGAAAGAAAGTTCAAATATATATATATATATTATTCCCAGATGATTTTCCAGCTTATTCAAGATGATCCTTGCCCTTTGCAACCTTCTAACTTTTTGTCCTGGAGTAGCAAGCTGCCTCAAATGTATCGTGTATGATTCCATTTTCAAGTTTTAATTCACTGCTCATTGGACTGTCATAGCTGAAACTCCTCTCTCACATGCCAAACCTCTTATGGATTGAATTGGATCTTTTCTAATTGATCTCTTTCACTCTAAATTGAAATGATGATCCCTCTTCCTCTTGTGACTGCCTGACCCAGTTTTCCTCTTTACTGTTCCATCTTTTTTTTAAACATTTTCTTGATGGTTCTTGAATGGACTTTGAAGACTAAAGCTAGAGTATAAATGTTGGTACCATTACTGATGACCTGAATGATCTTTATTCTCTCATCATTGCCTAGTTGGGAAGACAGTGGGTCTGACACAAAGCAGTCTTAACATGCTCTCTTTTTAACTGAATAACTCAAAGGGTTTTTCAGTGATTCTTACAACAAATAGTGTCAAGATGGCTAAACGTCTTATCTGAAAACCTGGAAAAAAAACTCAATTAGTTTAGTGGTTTTTAGATATTAAACATTTTGTGGGGTGGACAATTTTGCTGTTACACCTGGTACCTTGAGTCTAGTGTTAACCATTATCTTTCCTATATATCCTCATCATCTGCACTTCTTAACTCTTTCACTTATGTTCATACATGTTGTAAGACAACCTGATTACCTCCCCTGTCTTATGCTTTGTGTAAATAAGTCATGCCATCTTTGCCAAAAGGGAAAGACTTCAATTACATTCAATTACAGTCAAATTAGGCCAAACTAGACTCTGTGTTTTCATTACAATTCAACAACCATATTCAGTAAACATCTGTGCTACTTTTTTGTATTGGGTGATCAATTAGTAAAAACAATTCTTTGTAAATAGAAATTTCTTTCACAATTTTGGCTGCCTCACATGGTGTAATGGTTAGCAACAAGCCTAGTTACTCATTACTATTCTGTAGTGTGCTTGATTCACAGTGGGTGCTCTATACTTGTGAACTTCTCAATTCTAGGGTCTATCCAGTGATCATATCCTCATCATCTGAACTTTTCCTCTTAGCCACCTTAAGTGGCTGTTGGGACTGATATTAGGTGATCAGTAATTAAAAAATTGCTTAGTAACTACTTTGATAATCTTGAGTGACTCGTCATGGGAGAGGGTAATGTCTAGCAATTTTGTCTGGAGCACTATTACTACTGTGTAGTGAGTTTGATTCAAACTGTGTGTCTCATACTTGAAGCCTTTTTTTACAGCAGTAAAAAAAAGGGAAGCTATGGTGCATGCAGTCAAGCCAGACAGCAGAAGACATGATAGGTTTAAGGATCCAAGTTCTTGTTTTTGATTGTCCCATGGAACAATAGTGGATTAAATTGTCAGGTTGTGAATTAAGTGACACTATAACTGTGAGTTCAATTCCTGGGACAGGTAGTACAGTCTTGGTGAAAACAGGGTATACAATAACTGAGCAGTACTAAATAAGAACAAAACTAATCTACTCAATAAATCAAGGGTCCTCAACCAGGTTGGGGAATTTCAGGTTTGCAGGGTGTAGGGGAAAATCTTTTACGTTTTCTTGTTTTTTATTTACAGAATTTTCTTTACTGAATTACAATAGCCTGGCATTATACTGAACTTTTTGTTTATTGAAATATTCTTCCGTTTATTTATTTAATAATTAGTTATGAATTTAAACAAATTACTGTAAATGTATTCAAGTTTAAAAATTCATCAACATTTTTTATTTGTATTAAATTTGTAAAACCCCACTATAAAAATGATCCATGTATATGTACTAATATGGAAAAGAATGAAGATATTCTATAATATATGCATATTATTTGGAATGAAACTTTTGAGTTAAACCATCTTGTAAAGTGGATGATGACATTTTGACTTATGAGTTCACTTCAAAATTCCCTGATCATTACTTAGATTGACAGACATTAGAATGGGACTTGAAAACAACAAAGATGAAGACATTGTCTAAATGTAAATAACAATTACTATTTGATAATTTTTTCATAAATCTGAACATCAAAAAAGGCTGACTTTAGAATTATAATATCCCATCTCAAATGACATAATTATGATAGGAAGATTTTATTAGAAAAAATGAAATAATATCGATACTCCTATATGGCAATGAATACTGGACAATATCCTCAGAGAGGATGAGGAGACCTGTGGCAACAAAAATGTTATGCTACAGAAGGATGCTGAGAATACCACGAAGTAGTAAAGATGTTTTAAAGAAAATGAAAACAGAAAGGACACTTGTACCTAGAGCTGGAAAAAGACAGTTGAAATTTCTGGGACATATAATGAGAAAAGAGGGCTTGGAAAATTTAACACTCACATGATAGATTAAAGTCATGCAGAAATTAGAGAGTAACCTTCCTAACAAACTTGTGTAATGAATAGCAGCACAGGTTATGGGAAAAATAGTAAGGGCACAAAAATTGCTCAATTTTATTTTATATGCTAATGTTCATGCAGTACAAGGGCCAAAGGCCACACAAGTTAGAGGGTTACGATGTGGTTTTGGACAAGTAAAAGAAAGAGCAAGAAGTGAAATTCATTGGGCTATGCAGGAAAGAAAACACTTAACTCTAGGTTAAGTTTGTAATGATTGGGAAAACATTCTGCTAAGAGTTCCACAAAGCAGTATTTCTTAGGAAGAATCTGTCCAAATGGAACTTTCTGTTTGCTATAGGAAACAAATAGAATGGCAATGATTCACCTTTGTGTTGGTGGGTCCCATTTGTAAAGGTCAGAGTTGGTTGGGCTAAGGAATATACCTTGTCAAAATACATACTATGGAAAATAGAGCAACAAGAGACTCGCAACATTTTGTCTGTGGAAAAATGGTTGTGAAGTGGAAAATATTCATTTTTGGTCTGATCTGGCTCTAGTAAAATAGAATATAGCATGGGGTGTCAGATACTTACTGGAACTGTACAATGAACGAACCATTTTTCCAGAATCTTCAGCAATAAATTGTGGAGTGCCTTCTTTGTCCATGTCCTGAAGGGTCATGGCACATTGAAGAAGAATTAAATATATTAGAAATGAACAGAAACCATGGAATTAAATGCATTTTTTTATATCAAGAACAATTAAATAATACATAATAAGGCAGACAACTAACCTTCAAGAAGAATCAAATAATAACTCTCTGACATTTGTGCATTGTGGAAAGCAGTTTTACTTGTGGAAAGTAGACATTGTTATTCAAGTAATACTGTAAGTCAAGGTAGATTTTGTTATTGAGAAAGAAAATACATTTTCTTTTTAGATTATTTGGTGAATTTTTTTTCTCAAAAACTTATATTTTCTTTCAGTAAATTCATATTGTTATTTTAAACCGAAACATTTTAATCTTCAGAATGTGAAATTGCCCACCAAAATTGTTTAAGGAAAAAAAAAAAGAAAGAAAGAATAAATAACTTCTGAAAAGAATCTAATTTTATATTATCAAATTATTTTTATATTTAGCATTTCATGGTGGAGAAATGGAGAGCCGAGTTTGAATTCCAGTTAAATCCATCACATTCACTTGCATGCTAATACACTTGGGAAAGGTATGAATCCTCTTCTTCTCCCCCCAGCTATGGGTAAATAGCAAGATAGATCGGGTGTTCTATAGCCTTGGATGGAAACTGGTCTACCACAGAAAGAAATGGCAACCTAATGTGGGAAAAAAATCTGCCTAGTCAGTCATGTATTCAAAAGATACAAGATCACTTAAGTGTGTATCATGCATGGCACCTAACTGACTGAAGTTCTCAGTTTTACACTTGGCTTAGGTGTTTGTTTTCATTGCTTTCTTTTGGATTTTTATCAAAGAATGTAAAGATTTTTTTTTAATAAATATATACTCAGCAAAATAATATTTAATGAAAATGAATTTTTGAAACATTGATAAATTTAGATTAATACTTAATTTGAATATGAGAGTTTGAGATATTTTTAATAAAATTTGCTTTAATCTAATTGTTTCACAAGCTTATAGAATTGAGTTTTCAAGTTTAGGTAAGAATTAGATAGTGACTGGGAACAATGCATCTGTCGAATCTCTTTGTGTGGCCAGTTGTTTATACTTATTATGTATAGATAGCTATCTTTTAATTTAGTGACATATTAAAATATGTCACTAAATTAGAAAAGAGATGTTCATTGTGCCATTCAAGATGATTTTTCTCACCAGAATCAATCTTCTACATTTATAAGTTTACTTACTATTCATTCAGGATTTGAACATTGCTGGCACGTATGGTCTGGTGTCACTGTTATGTATTTAG